CCCAGTCAACACGTGAGATCATGCGATGATCACAGTGACATCACACCATTCTCATAGTGTGATACTCACAGTGTGAGTAATATGTGAGCTCATTGTGAATTCAAAATGTTGAGCAGGTTGAGAGGAGGCAGTTCAAATATCGGTCACCGAGGAGGCTTTCTATATCCTGTTTCTCAACACTATCACAGTGATATCACAGTGCTCTCACATGCTGAGCTCATGAGTGCACACTCAGCTAACAGCTTATTGTTATAAGGACCTTCTCCAAACATACAACTGACTTCCCGAAACAGCCTTCGATGAAATCAACTGAAATACAAAAGACATTAAATCTTTCGTGATCTCAGCAGAGAATGATTAAACAACTTCACAAACAGCATCACCAGCTTCACTCATTATTAACCAGACTGACTTTATTTCTGTCAGACATCTACAAAAGCGCTTATTGAGAATTAACAGAGATTAAGATGATGATGTTTTATTGTTTCATTTGACGCTACCATCAAGGTGATTAGTGTTTACTTTAGTTGGGCTCTTGACCCTTGACTTTATAACATTATATTTTTTTGGGCTGCTGTAACTGTGTTTGTAAAGCACAATTGTTATGTCAAGGAATGCCAAAAAGAGACTGTAACTAGGTGATATCGGTTTGTTATTGATGATAACAATGTTTCATTTGATGTTACCGTCCAGGTGATTAGTGTTTGCTTTAGTTGGGCTCTTGACCCTTGACTTTATAACGTGATATTTTTTTTGGGCTGCTGTAACTGTGTTTGTAAAGCATATTTGTTATGGCAAGGAGTACCAAAAAGAGACTGCAACCAGGTGATATCGGTTTGTTATTGATGATAACAATACAATCTTCACCCAGATTCAGTCTTTGTGAGGAGTTATTCATCTAAAGTTTTTAATTATAATAGCTGTTTGATTATACAGTATAGAATCCAACAGTGTAATAATTTATGCAGGATTTTAAAAGCATAAGTCATAAGCATTTTGAACTGCTGTGTCATTTAAAAACCAAGAGAAACATCAAGAATCAGTGTATGAATCTCAACAATGGTGACAATCAAAAGCTTCATGCTGCAATGCATGCTGGGTACCTAGTCTCTGTGCAGTGAGTGCACTTTGACCTCACATTAGTATGAGCACACATTGAGGGCACTGTGAGGTTACACTTTTAGCTCACTGTGACCTCATCACGAGATCAAAGTGTTGACTGGGTTATTATTTACTATTCCAATTTGTGTGTTTCAAACCTGTATGTCTTACGATGGCCATCTTAATTCTGCATTGAGTACAGGCTGTATACCGCAGTCTGCAGAGGATGGGTCTCTACATAGCAACAGCCTTGAATACGTGACACAGCTAATGTACTTTGAAATTCAAATGGTATTTGCCATACGAAGGACTCTGGGGGTAAATTTAAGCATTATACATCTTCCCAATCTACCATTAAATTTCATGTATTTGTATAATGTTGTTTTACATTTTTTTTTCAAAAACATGGTATTAGAATTCCTTGTTGGTTAACTTGCGCATGAGGCTGTTTTATTGGTAGAACCCATTTAGTTTAAATTGGTACACCGTCATGTTCGTTCTTATATATTTTAAATAAGTACAACAACTAAATTGGTTTAATATACATGATTAATGTAGGCTGCATTTCAGTAATTAAGTTAAAAAACAAAAGTATAAAACATTTTGATTGTATCATGTTTCAAACCTGAGACTGCAAGGTAAGACATTTACCCCGATTTCACAGACAAGGCTCAAGCCTAGTCCCAGACTAAAATGTAAGTCTGAGCTGTTTCAACTGAAAGAAACTTGCACCGATTGATCTTAAAATATAACAATGCCTTTGTTTTGTCTCAGGATGGACACCAGTAATGTTTTTTTTTTTCAGGCATGCTTATAAAAATTACTTAAATGTCCTAATTGAACTATGGCCTAATCCTGGCTTAGTCTAAACCCCGTCTGTGAAACCAGGCCTTAGTGTTTGACAAGTGTTTTATGATATAAAGTCACCATGAAATCTAAAATCACAATTAATATTTTTAATGGAATAAAGCAGTGTATGCTATTCATACACATCATCACAAAATAAAGTCCTGCCATGCATTTTTGGTACAAATGAACAGAAATATTTGCTTGTTAAGAGTGGGGGAGTAAACGTGGCATCCTGACCAAATTGTCCAATTGGTTTCATATCAGTCCTGGTCAGTGTTGGGCAGTAACGCATTACTTAGTAACGCGTTACTGTAATTTGATTACCTTTTTAGTAATGGAGTAATTTAACGCATTATAATTTTCAAAATAGTAATTAGAGTATAGTTACAAGCCGAGGTCTCTATACGTTACTGCCGCGTTACATTGCTGACAGAATGCAGTGATTTATAATCCCGACACAACAGAGTGCGGCGCGGGACAAGATGGGCAAGTATTGCGGGCGGGTAGACACTCTCGTGTGTGCGGGTTGCGGGAGAATAAATTGTTTCACGGGACTACCGCAAAATAGAAATATCTAAACATAAAATATCTAAAACAAATTTTTATTCATCTATTGCACAAAAGGAACATGAACTAATATCAAATATAAACCATTAACAGGTGCAAGCGTATGCAGAGTTTCTATTTAGGCTATAACACGTGTTTGCAG